TCACAAAAATCATGGACAATCCATAGAAAAGCCGCACCTGACTAAAAGCCGCAGGGTTCAAAGCTTGTGCAAAAAGTAGCGGCTTATAGCCCGACAATTACCGGTACTTCTAATGTCACATATCCTATTCTTCTGTGGTGTTTTAATGGCACGGACTGGTGATCATGGTGATCAGTTAAATGGCAGGTGCCTCCTGTTGTTTATCTGACCAACCACTGAACTAATAATTGGATTACAGGAAATTAGTTTTAAGTTCATTTTTCATTTTGTTGAATAAAAGTTCTATGTTATGATGGACCCAACTGATTTGTTTCCTCTGTTTTCTCAATGTAGCATATTCTGTTTAACACCTTGTTGATGTTAAAGGCTGAAACGGGTAGAGAAAGTATTTATGGATATTAATGGAGTAGTTTAAATAGAAGATATTTAACCAAAAATACAAGTCAGGAAATGAGGACTGAAAGAATCCTTGAGGCTATAGAACTTGCACAGAAATTTTGACTACTGGTGTAGAAATCGTTTTCAGAGTTCAGTTGTTTATTTGAGATCTTAGTTATGCTGAAATCATCATTCTTTCAAAGAAAAATAAACTCTTTTAAGAAAGGTCTGCAGTGTAATGTTCCATCCATGTTTTTAAAAAGGGGTTTCTCTGTCTCCCTTGGTACAGGGACTCCTCGATCCGAGGTTCAGGAGGAGGTGGAGTGTGCTCCCTCTCCTCACCTCGCTCTCACCCTTAAGGTAAGATAAATTACTTGGTGCTCGAATGAAATGTTTTTTTTTCCCTTAAAATAATTGTTTCAGATTAATCAGCAGAAGACTTTGAGTATATTTTGTAGGATACAGTCAGTTCCTATCCCAGCTGTCATTGGTGATTCATCCACAGAATACTCTTCCTTTTGCCCAGTCTATCAGTCTCTCTGTGCGATCACAGGATGGTCACAATGTTTAAGCACGTTTGTATCCTCAGATTTTTGCAGTGCTGTGCAAAAATTGCCATGGTAGCTGATTTAACAAACAAAAAATACCCTCATGTTGCATTTAAAATGAAAGTTAATTGGTACCGAAATAATTTTAGGAACATATTCAGTTTTATATCATTTATCCTTTTCCTTTATTGCGTGTATATTTTTGGAAAACAGTTGCTGTATCTGTCCTGTCTGTGTGTTCAGGTGGCTGGGCTGGGTACAACCCGGGAGGTGGAGCTTCCTCTTACCAACTACAAGTCCACCATCTTCTTCTATGTCCAGCGGCTGCTGCAGCTCTCCTGCAACGGAGCTGTCAAGACGGATAAACTGAGGCGCATCTGGGAGCCCACGTACACGTAAGAGAGGAGACATCTGATGCAAACTTTACTGCATTTGACAGGTCTTGGACAATTTTTGACTTCTGTTTTTAATGCAGGATAATGTACAGAGAGCTGAAAGACTCTGATAAAGAGAAGGAGAGTGGAAAGATGGTGAGTCTATTCAAGTTTTCTCTTTATGTCTGACGGATGTCTGGATGTCTGATGTCTCTTCATTGACCTCGGATCTGTTCCCCTTCACAGGAGTTTTGTGAACACAGCATTGGGGTCGGGGGCCGTTCTGGTGGCCTGAGCCCCAGTTCAGTTTCAGCCAATCAGAGCAGTGAGATTCTGGGCGGTGCCAGGGAGGTTGCGCAGGCGAAGGCAGGATGCAGCCAGAATGCCTGTGGAGTGGAGGATGTCCTGCAGCTACTGCGGATCCTCTACATCATCGGAGGAGACTCGGCTGCTAACACGCGCACGTTGCAGGAGGGTACGAAAACACTCAGTTGCACACTGGAACACACTGCGTTTGTGCTACTGGGTCTAATGTACATGCGCATTTTCCTTAAATCTGTAGCATCTTTGGGGACTTTTGAGACTGTAAAATATATGAAAACAAAACAGTTTATTCAACATTTCCACTTTAACCACATTAATGATTATATGTAGTACCTGCATTTGGAATGAAATTGGGTAAATGAAAACGAAGCGTTGGACAATCCTTGGGTAAATGAGAATTTGTTGCTTTGCTCACTTTGGTTTGGTAGTCAAACCAAAACACAAAGCAAAAAATGCTGGAGAAAAAAGCCGAATTAGAACTCAGTGGGAAATCCACATGCCAGGTAGTGGTGGCTAAGAACAACGTGGACAATTAAGCTTAGCTTTAATTCAGCAGACAAAAGAGCTAACTAGCAGCAGTGATCTAGCCTGACTTGGCAGAGGACTTCTTAGAGAAGTGACGAACGTAAGAACTGATGGAATACTGTGATGACAGAGGTGTATGGGTGCAGACAAGGCTGTACATATGTCATCACAGGTCATCAGGTGTGAATACGCTTCTACGGAATACGGAAACGTGACGGTGTAAAATCCTCGTACTATGGGTATTATACTATGTCTGTTCCACATGCATGGCAGAAAGCAAGTAATACAACACAGCATGATCTGACATCAGCCACTATAATCTGTCAGCCCCTAAGTGCAAACTTAGTGCGATATCCACTATCAAGTATTGTATCAATGTATGGTTAAAATATGACTCAAGTGTTTTAAGTGGTGAGTAGAATTAGAAAAATGTTATTTAAATGACTGTAGAGTGCATGACACAATGAGAATATGTGACACTATGTGACAACTTTATCCCAAAGAAAAACAAAAATCTTCATTAAAAAAAGTGTAACTGTCTTTTACCTCTTTGACCTTTTCTTTAGCACAGTGCGTAAACATCAGAAAATACTGATTGCCAATAAATACGTCAACAGAGCCAATGTTTGTCAATATCAGCTATAAATCCTCCTGCTAATTAATAGTGGTCAGCAGAGGCTACTGTGCATGATTCTCCATTGGCAATGCACTGGCTGTAGAGAGCTACAAACATCATGTCTGTTGCCAGATCGAGGATATAAAGCATATGGTACTGTGTGTGTCACTCTTACTTGTGCTCTTGTTGGTCGATCAACCAGCCATGGAGAAGAGTTGGTTAACATACAAAGAGTTCAGTTCAGTTCATTTTTATTTCAAACATGTGCCTTCACAATCATTACAAAAAATAATTCCATTCTTTTGTTTGAAACGGAGTAGGCAGAAGTATACACTCAATAGTCCCTACTTGAAGTGAAAACCAATTGTTTAAAAACATGAAAAGTGTGTGCAACCACTCTCTGTACTTTCCATAATGTATTTTTCCACCCATATTATTTTATGCATTTAGTTTTTCAAGTTTCAAGATGTGTGGTTTTTTCTTCATGGTAAACTCTACTGTTGCTCCCTTCCCCATTCTGGTCGGCTAGTCAACCAGTGGTATTCAAGTTATGTGCTTTCAGGTTTTCAGGGGACTGGACAGGAGTATGTGTAGATTTGCAGTCTGCCATCTCCCCTTTATAAAATATCTTTAGAAAGGGGCAATACCATGGTACGATAAACTAGCTTCAAGGAAAAGGTTAAAATAGTTGCTTATGTTGAAATGTTTGCATGGTTGTCTTTGTTAAAAATGGGGACTTAACTTGGAGCTTTGAGGGTGGAATAGAGCTCTCATTTCAAAATCTTGAAATTGTGTTTGCAGATATTGATGAGCTTCAGTTCAATGCATCTCCTGAAGATTTCACCAGCAAAAAAATCACTACAAAGATCCTGCAACAAATTGAGGTCAGTTTGTTCCATTTTTGTCATTTGTCTCGGTTTGAAAAACAATCTGAAAATTTCAAGACTTCCTTAAAAAAGACTTCTTGAAAGTCTCTAAAAAGTTGGCCTTTCAATATTGTCAAAAATCACAACTCCCTTTTCTGTTAACATAATGTGTTGTTGTGCACAATGTGCAACACCAGGTTTCAGTATAGTGATTAAAATGTGTAACCTGCTGAAACATCAGACAATTATTGTGGAAAAAAACCCTAAATGCAATACAAGCTCCAGTGAGTGCTATAGTTCACTAGTTAACGATGTCAGGTTTTAATTGAATGTTTTGGTTTCCCAGGAGCCTCTAGCCCTTGCAAGTGGAGCGCTGCCCGACTGGTGTGAACAACTCACCTCCAAGTGTCCTTTCCTCATCCCTTTTGAGACCCGACAGCTCTATTTTACCTGCACTGCTTTCGGAGCCTCCAGGTGAGTGTGATGCAGGAGTAAACAAACATACCACACATAACTTGAGGCATCTCAGCTCAGTTTTATTTGTATAGCTCAAGTCCATAGCAGTAGTTCCCTCAAGACTCTTGATATTACAAGGGAGAGACCCTCACAACACAACTTAAAAATGTGCTCCTTTGTGCTTATAACATAAAAATTGTAAAGTAAAATAATAAAATAAAATAAAATCGACAACAATTATTTTGTTATCGATTTAAATGTGACGCTTTGAAAACATAATTTTATGACTGACAGATTTAGCATTTTGGTCTTCAAAGACAGTAGAAAGTCCCGTTATCGACATTTGAATTTGGCCTTTTTTAAAGTTTAACCTTGAAGACCACGTCCTGTTGGTGTACTTCCAACACTCTGGCCTCTGACCCCACTCTGTCTCCAGGGCAATTGTGTGGCTCCAGAACCGTCGAGAGGCAACCATGGAGCGTTCTCGGCCGTCCACCACAGTGCGGCGGGACGATCCTGGTGAGTTCAGGGTGGGTCGACTGAAACATGAACGAGTGAAAGTCCCCAGAGGAGAGACTATGATGGAATGGGCTGAGTCCGTCATGCACATCCATGCTGACCAAAAGTCTGTGCTAGAGGTGAGAGGCGGTTTGTTTTTAACAAATCACAAAAGAAAACCTTCTGTGTCTACTGCTAGATTTGCAACATGCATTACAATTATCGGTCCGTGGCATGCCAGGCTAAGTGTGTCTGTGTGTGTTTCCAGGTGGAGTTTCAGGGTGAAGAGGGAACGGGTCTCGGTCCAACTCTGGAGTTTTATGCTCTGGTGGCTGCAGAGTTTCAGAAAACGTCACTGGGAATCTGGCTGTGTGATGATGACTTCCCTGACGATGAGTCACGACAGGTCAGTATTACCACGTTCACAAAGTGACAGGTTTAAAAGTAAAATTGGTGAAGATTCCCATTCTGTCATATTAGGAGATGTTAAAATGAGGTTCAAACAATGAGGTTAGTATGGCAAAATAATAATAGAAAAGGGTTGTTATTGTTGCTGTTATTATTATTAGTAGTAGTAGTAGCAGTAGCATTAGTGTTATATATTTAAATGTTGTAATGTCAGTGCTAGTCTGTCTTAGTAGCTGTGATCAAATTTGAAGGTGGCATTAAAAACCAGTGGTCATTAAGCAAGGGAAAATAATGTAAGTTTAAAAATAGGGATAACTTTATCAAACAGTGACAGTGATGATGCTTTTT